AATCCATAATCAGTATGATAGGGTATGCCTGATGTTGATTGGAGAAACCAAAGAAAACTACTGATTAGAGCAGACAAATGCTAGAATTCTCCAGACAGCGGCTGAATTCTACATAGCTATCTAGCTTGTATTGAAAATCCTGTCACTGTCGGAACTTGAACCCTAGGACCTCCCACTCACAAGCACTGCAGTGACATCAGCTGATGCCACCCCGGGTCACCTAAGCCAGTTTTTAAGTCACCTCCACTACACATGGATGACATTCATAGATGATGCACGTTCAATTCATAGTGAAATAATCTGAAGTTTCAAACTGATGTAATATCAAAACAATTAGTACAAAATTATAGGTACAGTATGAAAACCGTAAAGTAGCAGAAAATGGAGCCTTTTGGTACATGGATATGAATCTTTTGAGTCTAACAAACTATAACTCACAAATGTCTAATTTCTGAACGATCTCCCATGTTCTCCCTTTATGAAATTGTTAATGAAAAGAAAGAAAAAATGGAGAAAAAAAAGAAAAGCACAGCAGAATAACAGAAGTTAGAATGAAGGCCAATTGTTTTTTCTTTCTTTTTTCTATGACCCCTGGGACCAAATTTATACCAGTGGCACACCACTACATCAAATAATAATATTAATAAAAATATAAAATAATTATTATATTGGCTTACATGTTTATTTAAAATTTTCAAGGTAGTACTTTTAATACATGTCTGTAATTAATTTATTTATTTGAAAAATTATTACTGTAGTCGAAATAAAAAAAAATGTACAGCCCATCTTTGGTCTCGAATGGGTTAAACAAACCTGACAATGTTCAAACCCAATTTTTTTGCATAACTTAAGGACTAAATCACTGAGAGTCAAGCCAATGGTGGCAGCTGTCCTCAAAGAGGAAATCATCTCAGCAATCAATTCATATTACTATTAATCACACATTAAAGCAAAACATGAGAACTGCAGAAGACAAGGCACAAAAACAATTCAAATATACTACATTATGGTGCACAAAAACACCAAATATACATTAAATTTATATATGAATACAGTAGGCTTAATAAAGTTTTTAAGTTAAGAGTTATTCTGTGCATAAAGATGTATTAGACAAAGTAAGGAAAGACAACCAGTAAGTACTGAGCAAACCTATCCTAAGAATTTGTTTGTCAACTAAGAGTTTACAAAATGTAAGACACTTTAATACAGTTATAGAAATACAGTTAAGAAGTCACAGGTCAGTGATTGCACAACCATATCTTTGTGTTGTATTATTTTCACGAGTTATCAGTGGTTCTAGAAACCACACTTTCTGAAATCTAATCCCATACATTCCATTACTTTTCTGAGAAACTGCCCATAAACTCATTTTTAATTAGTTAGAAGACTGATTTTCTGTTTCAAAAGAAATACAATTATTCAATCAACATCTATAAAAAGCACTTTAAACTTAATATACCAATACTTTCTGTAATTTTCAACTGCCAATGTAAAAAGTCAAGATATTAAAATTTATTTCAGTGATAATTTACTTGCCAAAAAGGTCAAAATTGTCGAAGCAAAGTCTTTATTTGACAAGAGTAAAGTTGAAAAATAATCTTGGATAAGCAACATACTTCCATATTTTATGTAAGAAAATAAAACAGTGTTTATATCATTAATTAACTTAAATAAATAATTCTGCTTTACTCAAAATATTTGTTACACCGCAAGGGGTTTAGTTCCAATTATTTCAGATGAGCAAGACTAGTGTAACTGGTTAATACAAATAAATCACCAAACTTGCATGTAAAGTAGAGTTTCTCAAAGCAAGATTTTTTGGTTGCAGACCGCTTTTGTTAACATTATTACAGTATTTGATCCCTACCAGTAATTAACTTTACTTATTCAAAATAAAAATTACTATGTTATGCAATTTTAAATATTTTACTTAATATAAAAAATTATTTTATTTACTTATTAATATAACCACATCAGTGTTTTGGCAAATAGCAATACCATTTGCAACAATTAATATTGAAACCCACACTAGCAAAAATTAAATCCAACAGTCGCCCATTCCCTTTCTCTCCACCCATAGCATGAGTCTCAAGCCTCCGTCCACCTTACGATGGAAACACATTTCTTACATATATGCTTCTGGCAAGTAGTGATGGTACGATAAGCTGTGAAATAAATGGATGAACCAGCAGGAAACAATATCAGATAAAGCTAGAAGGCTTGCTGCATATATGTAATTATTTCTGTAATGTACATTAGATAAGAATCTTATCTTTTGAATGAATCACGTATCTATTGGGATCATACGATTTGTTGTAAAACTAATTTTAAAAGGTATATAGATTAGGTCTTTTATTTTAGCTTTCAACAACTCCCAGTTTTTTAATAGGAACTATCAACTCTTAAGAACATTCAAATCTGTACCAGGGGTTCAATATCAAACACTTTGGGAACCGGTAATGAAAATTGAGCAAAAATGTAATATTGAAGAAAATGTATTTTTTCAGTGTTAACCATTCTTCAATACACTAATATATAATTTTTAAATGTATACAGAACATCCTGTTACCAAAAAATTTCAAACAAGAAAAACTTTCAAATCATTGAAAAAAAGTCCAGCAAACTTCAACAATAACTGTTAAATTCAATCCTTAATAGAAGTACTGACAAAAGGACATTTAAAATACACAGGACATATATTTTAGAAATTATCAGCAATGTAATCAAGTTTGTTTAGGATCATCTGGGTGTCCTCAATATACTTTCTGCATGTGTAAACATCAATTGCAGAATCAATCAACAACTATCTATCAGCTTCTAGAAATAATTCTTTCCCACACTTCAAAGGTTGAAGATCACAGAAACAAACATTTTTCAAGAATTGTAACATTGATATTAACTCATCGACATGGGAATACAAAGTAATTGAAGCATTACTATATTAATTTCCTGAAAACAATTTTCCAATAAGAGGTGGCCCAAATTTTGAAGTTTTCCAAGAGGAATGAACACAAAGTAATACCTCAAGAACTTACAAAATTGTACCATTTAATAGATTTCTGTATTCTTTTTATAAAGCTGCAAATATAATATCTCAAAATTCATTTGTGCATATTGAACATGTTGACTAGAATGATGGCTTTTCTGGTACCTTTTTTGTGTGTGTGTAATAAATAAAAAAAATAAAGAGTGTCATGTTCAATTAAATATTGGAAAAGCAAAATCAAATTTTTCAAAAACCTATTGACATCTGCATGAAAATAATCAAGCTTTACAAAGGAAAACACTCAGATCATTAATAATAATAGTTTGACAATTCCTCTATAATTTGTTGATGCTGGGTATTTATTGAAATAGTTCAATTGCATATTAAAAGATAAGAAACTGTGTTGAAACAATGTTACCATGGTAAATTAATACTCCTGAATGAATAAGTTATTCTAAATAGTATTATTTCATTTATACTTCCAACAGGTAAACATTAAATACACAGCAAATAATTAGTTAGCCAATTATTACTACAGAGAGACAAAGTGACATTGGATCTCTCCCTTTGGGCATCCTCAAAATCAGTGGTCACAAAACTTGCAAAACTTCTAAGCAAACATACCATTTTAAAATTTTACAGTGAGCTACCAAAAGAATCCACACCAGAAAAAAGAGCTTCTATCAAACTATCCATATTCACAAGTGCCTGCTGTTCACACCTTAAACATAATAGACGTAACCTCAAGCTCACACAATCAACCATGAGACTGACGGTGACAGTTGTGGGAGAGAATGCAAGAAGTTGATTTCACAAGTAATCTGGCAGAGATCATTGCAGCAACTCCACATTAGACAACCTGAGCATGACATTGCAATTCGCCGAAAATTTCTCCTTGTGCTGTCAATAGCTCGTGATTGACAGTTTGGCAATATCTGCTCTCACATCATACACAGTGTTCTTCTTAATATTATAATTTATGAAAGACTAAACAATAAGTCCTAGAAGTTCACCACTAAAAACTTTAGGTGTGTGAAACATTCTGGGGAAGGGGGAAGAGTACCTGGTATTAATTAGATAAATTCACATTTGTTTATAAATGCCTTTTTTTATTGAATTAAATGAGTTCTTTTCAAGGATTTATCAATTTCTAAGTAATGGTAACTATTTTATACCCTCCACAAATAAACAGACTTAAAAAATATTTAATAATTCATAGCGGCCAAGATCTTACCATAGCAAACCAATTCTCGGAGAGGATGGAATTTGACAATGGAGTCCTACAACTGGGTATCTTTTAGATGCCGACAACCCTCTTATTTCAATTGGAGAACATAATACTCTTAAATGTCATACGCATATGACAGGAATGACCTGTCAACTGGCAGATTATCACAGATACGTAACATACAGCAGACATTGCTTTAAGTTGAATGATATCTGTGTGAAATACAATAATTCACACTCATTCATAGAAGAAACTAATGGAAGTGTCATGATGTTCATAGAGTTCCCGAGTCATATTATTGTACCAATTGAGAACGCATATTAAGCAACTATCAGCTCAACTACCAACTGGAAACGGAGTATGAGAGCAATCTCTAAAGTTGTCCACAATTTGCAGACAACCTCAAGGTCATTTTATAATATCACTTACAGTAATGCCAACTCATATCAATTGCTCAGTGGGTTTTACTTCATTTTTCAATAACTAATATTACCACTTCTTACTTTTTTATAACTCTCCTTAATGTGAATTCCAGAATCCACACTACATCAAAAGGTGGAATTTAATTGCAATTACAGCAGACTGGACATTTTCACACTTTTAGAAAGAATAAAATAGTTATCAACACTTGTAAAAAGTCCTCCAGTCAAAATATTTGAATATCATGTACAAGACCTCAAGCAGCCCCTTTCTTAAATCCAATTCTGTTTACATATAAAAGATGTTTCAGGAATGAAAACAAATAATAATTTTTAATGTTGAATTGTCAGTAGTAAATTTACTTACCTCACCATCACTGTCATAATATATCAGGAAGTGTTTTGTGAGGACAAACCAACGATGTTTGAAATTCACACGAGTAATTCTCTTTTTATTTTGTGACCTCTTGACCATTAACCCCTGTTTCAGGACTTCATCTTCTTTACCTGCCATTTTGCAGATCCTGTTGATAAACTGTAACATAAAAGAGTGTGAATGACAAAATGATTACCAGTTTCTCTTGAAATTATTGTCAGTTCAAAAAATATTTTTAAACTATTTCTCACACTATCGTAATGGTCTTTAGAAATTAATCTCCTCTCTCATAACAAAAGGAAATTTTGTTTTCTCTTTAAATTGAATACTTTCTTTATTCACTTTTTATTTGAAAAGCTTAAGCTTCAAAATAGGGTCCCTTATGAAATTTAATAAAGAATGCCAAATTCATCACCAAATAATGCATTTTATTTTCTCGCAGAGTTCATAAACATAGGTATTTATAAATCAAAGGTCACGTTTTGATAAACAATACCACATGAAACTGGTATAATATTTTTATTCTGAAAAATATTGAAAAATACAAAAAGTCTTTATTTTTTTAATAAGACTGACTGCAGTTTTATTTCAAGAATGCTAAAGTGCCACTGCACATTACTACGAAACGAAATTAAACAGATTTTCTCACACTCTTGCATAAAAAAACAACAACACCAACTAACAAATGCCAAACCGGTTAGACAATTCACCGATTCCTTCATTCTATGGGCAAAATTTTGGGGAAACTTCAATTATTAAAGTTCACTATTAATACAGCGCCTTACCCTGAGATGTAACCGCATGAACCTCGATCCTGTCACATCGCATTTCATGGAATTTGGTCACAAAATTAAACCGTCAGAACAATATAACGTACACGTCTCGTTTACAGTCACCACTTTTAGTCACTCTGCCATTCTAAAACATTGGTTTGACACACAAAGCGGAAGTGACTAAAGTGACAAAAGAAAAAAATCTCTAGCGTTAAACGCAGAGTATGCTCCCAAATCCATGTGATCTTTGCAATTTATCACAGCATTTTGCACTGCATTGGCAATCGTAAATCCAAACAATCCGGGCCTTAATCAACAGGTACATCGGAAAACAGCAGGTACAGCGTTGTTTAATTCCACGAGTTCTCACCACTCAGCGCTGGAATCGCATTCATCGCTCCTGTAATCATTTCGTAATGGATCTGACATCCCGAAAAATCAAGCTTCTCAATCTGCCACTTGTATCTTGTTTCCAGGGAAATGCACCGAACGCACTTTCAGAGAATGCCTCATTGACTTTCTAGAAATGGATGAAGTCTGATTCCAGCCTCCGCTGAATCACACGCTCGCTTATTACGCCACTCTCTCAAAATCTAATCATATTTACTTTGTGGCTCCTAACAGGATGTCACATTCATTTCAGGAAACATGTAGGCATATTACTTTAAAATCATAAACTCATCTGGCACTCGCCATTCTTCATTAGTACGTACGATGGTCTATCAGCTTTAATTGAGTACGTACGGCACGTTTTCTTTCTTAAAATCACTGCTCGTTTGGACTCAAGTTGACAGCTTAGTGCAGGTAACACTTTTTTATAATTTTGAGTTAATTATCTTAGTAATACAATTAAGCTTTATCACTTTCATGATTTTTACATTTATTGGTACTGGTTTTACATTTATTGGTACTGGAAGGACCTTACAAAATAATTTCCAAGTGAATTCCAAACACTACTTCTATTACACATATTACCGCTATTCAGATGACATCCATGTCAGGAAATTTCTGTTTAACATTTCTTCATTAAATATGACATAAATAGGTACTAAATACTTCTATACTTTTACTGAAACGGACGCCTTGAAAGGGCACGTCTCCTCTCGTATTTCCAAGTACATACTTAGTTTTATTTAACATTTTTGTACTGACACTTTATAATGACGGTACGGTAGGAGTTCTTTACATGCTCTAATCGTAGAACGAATCTGTTCTATGATGTCACTCCGCGATGTCACCCCGACAACCCAGCTCATGATTCTGGCCACGGAAGCCTGCATCATTTATTCAACCAGCATGGGGTAGAAGGCTACACGAAACTGTTTTCCCGTCCCGCTTTAGTAATGTCCACGGGCAATGGAAATTATGACGGAACTCCCCAAAAGGCGCGTAATGAAATGGGAATGTGAATAACACACACTCGTTTTCTGGAGTTCTCATTTTGCTGGATGCAAAAGACGAAGAGGTTGGTTGTTTCGATGCCAGATTATAGTTGGGAATTAGTGGTCTACATCAGCAAAGATGCAACTGAATAAAACCAAACAAAATGGTTTTCCAAAAAGCAGCACGCACACTGCTCAAGAACAACAAATAAAATACTATCGTATAACACTGAAAAAACTTAAAAATTTTAACAAAATTAGTCCTCAAGAGTACTGCAAACATAATATAGTACATACATGGATATAAGTACAAATGTTCTTTATTTACCAAGGATATCAAATGTAGGGTTCATATTATTTTTAAAAAAGTACAGGACATTAATTTTTTTGTTCTGAAAGTGTGGAAAAATGAGAAAATTCATGCGTCAAGTAACAGGATATTCTCTCTTGCTATATAATAAAATCCATATTTTGTGGGTCCTTGATACTGAAAAACAGATTGATGGTAAAACGTCTGTCCGTCTGTGCACCACGCTAGGGGCTAAACCGTTCAGCCGATTTTCTCCAAAATTGTAATTCCCCCTATCGATCTGGCTAATATCACCGTGACTGATATTTGAAACCGACATTTTAATTTTAATTTGGAGGTGTACTTTACATGAAGGTCCTAGGACATTTTCCAATTTTCAAAAAAAAAAAAAAAAAAAAAAAAAAAAAAAAAAAAAAAAAAAAAAAAAAAAAAAAGTTCCAACGTTTTAAAACTTTGTTACTGGATAGTGTGAAAGACGTTTAAGAGAGTGAAACACGACTTTTCTGCTTTTACACTTTTTCGGTGTCGGAGATTCTGGACCTTTTCCATTCCGAGCATTGGCGCTTTGGAAGAGGCTCGTACTGATAACATGTTTCATCACTACTTATGATGCATAACTGGAAGTCTAGGTCCTCATCGGCCGATCGTTTCATGTCTCTTCAGTGTTCCACCTTGCAATGTTTTTGATCGTGAGTGAGTAGGGCACAAAGTGACAAAGATCTTTTTGCCTAAATTTTCAGTCACAATGTGATACACAGTTGTTTTAGGAATTCCAGCGAAGTTCTTAATTAACCTAGTAGATGCACTCTCGAAATCTTGCACACCACTTAACAACATTTTTACGACTCATGACTTCACTACCATAAACAAGTTGTATCATTTCAAAAGTTTCTGTGTCACTCTTACCCACTTGGAAACAAAATTAGATGTTCGCGCGTCGCTCCGTTGCCCTTTTCACGACCGAGGGTCAAACATACGGTTACTGTTTTGCTTACTAGTGTTTGTGATGCCTGCGTTGTTCCTTTTAAAACGGCAAGTAGTATAAAAACAACAGTACTTAATTCCTGAATCAGATCACAAGTGGCAGTAGTGGTTTCTTTTCAAATCAATCTCCTTTTCTTCGAGCTGTTTATATTATATTAGTTAATTATTTAATTAGATAATTAGTTAAATATATTAAAATCGAATTCTGAGTTTGAAGGACATTGATGAATATTTTTAGAAGGAGGTTGAATGATTAGATGTGCACAGGCTCATTAGAATAATTTTATTTTTATATTCTTCTCACACTTTAATACAGGAAAATCAGTGATACTAGCTAGTTTTGAAATGTAGTTTGCAACGCTATTTTGTTCTGTTTCCAGAAAACATGCAACCGTGCCATGTCTACGTGCATCACCAATTGCATACCCTCTTTAATAATCAGGTACTTTCAGCGAAATCTATGTTCAGTTAAGTAATGAAGCCATTTAACCTTGCAAAAGGTGAGGCAGAAGCTTTTATTTTTTTTATTTTATTTATATTGTTAAAAGTAAGAAAACTTGAAGTCTTTCACTTCGAATTAATTAGTAAAATGTTTTGTAGCAAAAAAATCGATATTTTCGGACATTTTATGTATAATAATTATTTAATTGTTGAACTTTGTGCAAAAATGATTATATACAATTTCAAAGGTGATAAAATTCTCTACAAATGTATCTTATAAATATCTTTTTCAAGCCCCTAGTAAGAGAGCTACGAGATTTTATAATTTCACTAAATTTTACTTTTTATTCTGAAGTTGCCCTAAATTACTAATAGTATCTATATTGTAGTATATAAAATCTACTCCAGGTTGAAAACTGCTTCCTAAGAGCAGATTTAGGGACTTTCGGTGTCTCTACAATACTTGGCGTAAGATGTGGGTTGTTCCAAATAAACTAATGTCTTGCATTTCGCAGTCTTTTGAATGACCAGGCAATTTAGCCACATTCTTACTCAAATATTGCGCACAGTATAATCATGATTCCTTAAAAGTACCGTATAAAGAAGACATTTATAGCAAATAGCAAATGAAACATCAATTGTATGTTTTCTAAATGTTGAGTACAACATATTAAATTATTACTGGTATCGAAACAAGAAATATAATATCGCATATGCACTTCTGAGAGGATAAAACCGTCCACAGGTGTACCAAATTAAATAATACGTTCAAAAGACAACAGATAATGTTGAATTGGTTATACCAGATACGTCGCTGTAATTGTTTGTGTATAGTATTTTAAAATTCAAAAACGGTGCATTTGACTCATAGAATAAAAAATGTATATCGTTGTTACATGGTATATTATCGGCAGTAAGACGAATATTTGTATTGTATACGTATCATTTTTTACTTTATATTGGGTACATGTGTATTAGGGTAGGGGGTTCTTAAAATCTCACTTATCTTCAACTGTTCCTCTCTCTATTCTTAATTCTAACACATTTACATTATGCACAATATTCTCAACACTTTCACTTTTTGCATGATCTCAATGGTCTGCCGACTCGACTTACCCCTGGCTCTTGGGGGGTGTGGCATGCAATCGTGGCCTTAATTATTCCCCTGTGACACCCTACGTCACACTTCACTATCAAGTACTATCGAGTACACTATACTATAGTACCTTCTGGAGGGACACACGCACACTTGTTCCTTAACGGGCACTATGGATGGTGTCTCTGTGGTCGGCGATGCACCTCTAGGCGAGGTCATTTATAGTGCCCGGTACGTAAAAGGCACAAGGGTTGTTTGGTAAATGTGGGCTTAATAACGAGTGGCGCTACTCGAAATTACCTCGGCGACAATGCGTTAATTTTTTAAGACTGTTGATGCCGAAGATGAATTTCTTTAGTGTGGCTTCTGTATCACCACATCACTCGCCGATGGTTCCCACCACCACAGGGTGAAACTTCACCACTCGGAAGCGCTGGGCTAGGAGTATCCCGCGGAGGTAGTAATATTTTTTAGCCTTTTCCTCGTATCATTCGCACAGACGCCCCTTACTCCACAGCGATCGCTGCGTCAAGTACGATAGTGGTGTGGCTCTTCGCAACCACTAGGCCAGGTCTGTTCTCCTGCGGGTCGACCTGCTTATTGCAGAGGACACTCCATCCGTCCGCGACAGCGGAGGCGAACCACTGAGCAAGCCCTCGGTTGTGACATGGCTGCCACGTTGCGGACTGGAAGCGACGCTCAGAAACAGGGTGCGACCTATTTGAAGAGGATTTTATGAGAGAAAAAATTCTATCTCAATATCTTTTGTTGTATGAAAGACGCGGAAACTTTATGAAGTTTTTCAATTTTCTAAAAAATTAGTTTTCAACTAAAATGAGACTACACATTTGCCTTTAAGTCATTACACTATCGAACAACAAAATAATAACTTATAAACAATGGACTCGTTATTTCGCAAATGTCGCCAGGGATTTCGTCTAAAGGTACTACCAATATTAAAAAATCAATTTCAAATTCAAAGGGGCGCAAACATCAACAGAATGATATCGCTAGCGTTGACGCAGACGTTTTGGCCGTCAATTCGATTTTCGGTAATCAAAGCTCTCACAAAACGTGAATTCGTTCTACACGATGTTAGAGAATTT